TCAGTAGCTTGAGCACTCTGGGATGATCAAGAACAGATCCTGTTTGATTATCTTTCAAGTATTTGAAAAGTGCTGGCCTATCTCCCCTCAGTTTTTCTCCAAGCTCAACATGCCAGTTTCTTTCAGTCTTTCCTCCTAGGGCTTGGTTTCCAGCCCCCTGATCATCCTTATTGCCCTCCCCTGAACTTGTTCCAATTTGTCAGCATCCTTCTTGCAGTGCGGTGTCCAGAACTGTTGCTTTGACTACCTCTCCCGTCTTTCCCAGGCATGCAACCCAGTTCGGAGAAGGGGCTCTCTTGAGAAAAGCTTCTCCAAGTAAACGTTTGGAGAGAAAATATCCTCTCCCTTTGTTGAAACTCCTCTTCGGGCAGAGCGCAAACCTCAGATGCACAAAATCATGACGGAGTGCTTGGCATCTTCTCTTTCTCCAAGTGGCAACGCATCCCGGAGTCACAGTGCTTACCCGGGTTTAATTCCCCCTGGAAAGAGGTCACCGGAGGATTAGCAGTGTCCTGTAATATTGCCACTTGTTTACAAACATGTGGGTTGAGCATCCGGAGATGCACAAATTAAAACACTCCAGACTGACAGCCAAAGTCCTGCATCGCTGCGCGGCATCTTAGTAAGCTGGGTTTCAGAGAGAGAGAGAGAGAAAATATCCTCTCCCTTTTAGGTATTTCCAGGCCGGGTTGGTAACGGCTGCAAATGATATGATGATTGCTGATCACTACAGAAGGAGAGTTAGCCACTTAGCCAGATGCAGATGTCTTCAGTTCCATTTGCCTCCATCAAAGGATGTGTCCTGTGCTCTCTAACCTCAGATCGGGGTTAATATGTTCCCACCCACTGGGTGGATAAAATTTTGATAAAAGGGATATTGTAAGACTTCTCTTTTGAAGGTTAGTTTGCATATACCTAAGTGCAAGCTTGCAAACATAAATCACTATACAGTATATAAACATAACTCAGGGTATGAATTTTAACCATTTAGAGGTAGCCAACGTTAAAGCACAAAAAATGTTGAAACGGACGCTGCTCGACTTCAGGCACCTCGTGAGAAGGCAGGATTCTCTGGAAAAGACAAAAATGCTGGGAAAGTTGGGAGGCAGCAGGAAAAGAGGAAGACCGAATATGAGGTGGACGGACCCCCTCAAGGAAACCACTGTCTTGAATTTACAATTGCTGAGCACAGACAGGGGATTTTGGAGGTGGCATATATAACAACAGGATGAGAAATACACCCGGTTTGTTTGAATTTGGGTATTCAGCACCCTCCGGATGCGGTCTGGAAGACTTGGCCTCAGCCTAGCCCAGGTGTGGGAAAAGCAAACGGCTCGCTTCTGCTGTTTGTGTTCGTTATAAACGATTGCTCCTGACCCAAGAGGCCGGTTGCCAGAGAATCCGCAAAGTCATTTATTTCAGGAAACGGAAACTTAAAAAGTAGGCTCAGGAGGAGCATCCAGCTGTGTGAGAGGAAAAGAAACTTAACAAGTTCACCGGTTGCCCATCTTGACTGAGCAAAGAGGGACAGCCGGTGCCTACAGAACAGGAAACGTCACTTTGAATGGCTGGGGGGATTCTAGGATTTGTAGTCCAGAGACACACTCTTCCCAGTAAAAATCAGAATAAAGTAGAATCTTGAAGGACCCAGAATTCAGAGATCAGAGAAGCAAGAAAGCTGGATTATTTACTGGTCAGTGTCTAAAGACGTTTGTCTTCAAGGGACTGCCTATGAAGGCAAAATTATCAATTTAACGACCTATGTTTCATCTATACTTTCTTTTACATTTATATCCCACTTCCCCCCCAAAGAACTTGAGTTGGCGTACATGGATTTCTTTATATCCCCCACTTCATCAGAACAACAGTCCTGTGAGGTAGCTCATGCTGGGGAGAGTTATGACTGGCGGAAGGTCTCCCTGTGAGTTTTGTGGCTGAGTGGAGATTTGAACCTGGGTCTCTCAAGTCCCTAGCCCCGCACTCTTAACCCTGCTATATCCTAGGGACTCCTCACTCGTGGAGTCAATAAAACACCCATTTCAGAAATAACCCATTATAAATCTTTCTTTATCTCTGAGAAATTTGCTTTTCAGTGTACGACTTTTCCAGAGAACGTTAGGGCAGAGTTTGGTTTTTTTTGCTCGAACCCGCCCTGGTCTTAATCTGACTCTTAACTCCCTGATGTGAAAAATTGGGCTTCTGGGTGTCTTGGACTATATCTCCCATAAGCTCTGACTGGACTGTTCTTGTAGTCCATGAGCAACGGGGACTTGGAAGCCTGGAAACCATGGCTCTGTGCCAGTAGCGGCCAAACTTTAGCCATCCGACGACTTACGGCTCGCGTGCCTGCAGAAAGGGCTCTGTGTGCCAGCTGTGGCATGCGTGCCATAGGTTCGCCATGGCTGCTCTGTGTCATCCTGGTGCCCCCACCAGTTGCCTGGATGGGAGAAGGCAGCCCTAGCCTTAATCCCACAGATGGTGGCTTAGAATATCTGTGTTCAAATTCCCACTCTGGTATGAAGGCTTTCAGAGCTGACTTTGGTCTCACCTACCTCGCAGGGTCCTTACGTTGTCTAGTGTGGCATTGGAGAGCCGTGCGCAGTGTCATGGATCATCAGGGTGGTGGCGGCGGGCAGGATATTACAAATTAGACAGCAGGCAGGATATCATGAATTATCAGAGTGTCACAGACTAAGCGGGGGAGGATTTTTTGGTGGGGTGGGGAACCTGCTCTGGTCATGAAGTCTCTGCATGTACAGTTGTGCCTCGCTAGACAATGATAATCTGTTCCACTGAAATGACTGTTTAGCGAAATCATCTCTCGTCTAGCGAAAAGCATTTCCCCATTGGAATGCATTGAAACCTGTTTAATGCGTTCCAATGGGGAAGAATTGTCGTTGTCTAGCGAAGATCGGCCATAGGAAAGCCGCTTTGCGAACTGCCTATCAGCTGTTTAAATCACTGTCTTGCGAAGCTTCGGTCCCGAAAACGCCTGTGTGCGAGCGCGGAGGGAGCTGTTAAAATCGTTGTCTAGCGAAAATCATTTTGCGAAGCAGGGACCAAACATTGTCCAGCGAAATTCCCCCATAGGAACAACTGTTTTGCGAATCGTTATAGCAATCGCAAAAAGCCAATGTCTAGCGAAAAAACGGTCATGTGGGGTAACTGTCTAGCGAGGCACCACTGTATTTGTATGTGTATAAAATCTGATTTTTAAAATCTATATATACATACATATGAACATACCCATTTAACATAAATAACTTACCTTGTTCTGCTTCATTTTTTTTTAACTTGGGGAAACTGGCGTGTTCATGTGTGCTTGTCCTTTTTCTAAAACTTTTAAAACTATTCTTGTGAGCAAGAGGGCAGGGAACCCTACTTCCCCGATTGATGGGCCATCTTCTTTTGCTAAAGATTTCTAAAAATTGAATCCCCCGATCTGCTGTTCCTGTGCCTTAATCTCAGAGTGGCTGCCGTTCTCCCCAGGATAATCTTCTAGCAAATGGATTCCAATTTTAAAAATAATAATAAGAATCAGATTTTTAAAAATGTTTAAAAGACGATTTTTAAAAACTTAGTTTGTGATTTGAATCAATTTAATTTGAATTCAATCTAACCTGGTGTTAGAAGAACATTGTGAGCATGAAAAGAGACAAACCAAACATGAAATGGTTGGGCCCCAAGTTTGCAAGACCTCAGGAGATCGGTTGACGGCAGGACCTTTCTGTGGTCGCTCATCCAGAGAGTCTCGAGTGAGTGACTTAAGGATGTGTAGCGAGGGGTAGAAAACGGGTATCCCTGTTTTAAAAAGCATAATGTTGGTTAGGGAAACAATTAGACTGTTCCTAAGTGCTGCACCCAAATGGTGCTGAGTAAAGCAAAAAACAACAACAACATGGGCTGCTTATACAATGGTACCTCGCTAGACGATGTTAATCCGTTCCATTGAAATCGCTGTCTTCTGAAAACATTGTCTAGTGAAAAGCGTTTCCCCATTGGAATGCGTTGAAACCAGTTTAATGCATTCCAATGGGGAAAATAGTTTGTCGTCCAGCGAAAATCGCCCATAGGGAAGCCATTTTGCAATGTGCCAATCAGCTGTAAAAATCGCTGTCTTACGAAGCATCAGTCCCCAAAACACCTGTTTTGCGAAGATTGCTTACAGGGAAGGCATTTTGCGAAGCCGCCGATCAGCTGTAAAAATCGTCTTCTGAAAAAATGGTGTGTGAAGCACGGACCAAATCATCATCCAGCAGGGAAGGCATTTTGCAAATCCGCCAATCAGCTGTAAAAATCGTAGTCTTGCGAAAAAAATGGTCTGCGAAGCACGGACCAAATCATCGTTCAGCGAAATCCCCCATAGGAAAAAAAACATTTTGCAAATCGCTATAGCGATTGCAAAAAGTCAACATCTAGCGAAAAAACCGTTTTGTGGGGTACTCGTCTTGCGAGGTACCACTGTATATTGTACTCCATAGCACTTTCTGGGCAGTTTGCAAGGTAATTACGAAGGTAACACATCCCCCCGTCCCCCCGTGATTTGGGTATGCAGTTTACTGACCTTGGAAAGATGGGAACCGAGTCACCCTTGAACTGGCTGCCTGAGCCCCTTGGGATTGGACTCAGGCCACGAGGGGAGTTTTGACTGCAGTTGTGCCGCGAGGCTCCTAAAGGAACTATAAGACCATTTTCGGTGGGTTGGTTTTTGGTTGAACCCTTCTGGTTGGCACAAAGAACAATTAAAAGAAGCATGCATTTAAGAAAAAGAAGAAAACAGCAGCCACAACTGTTCATTTTTAGAAACAAAGTGCCTTTTCTAGATGGCATTGCAGCTCTTTTGGACTCAGCTGGTGGGGATTCCAGCTTCGGGACGTTGCCGTGAATCCACTGCGGCTTTTTGTTTGCTCTTTAGCTGCCTTCTCCAAGGGCTGAACCTGTTTGGAGGGGTCACCGTGGTACATCCCCCCTCCCTTGGAAGCTGTCCTGAAAGCCGGTGAAACAAAGCCGGCTGGGCCTTGATTCCGGTTCCTGGGTTTGAACCCAAAAGGTTGTTCTACTGCCTGTGTTTCTCACCCAAACTCTATTTTGACTCTTTTGCAGCTTTCTCCCTCGTCTGCTGGTATTGTGATAATGTGGACGACAACTGGGGATGCTGGAGGTGGCAGTTCTGTTCAAACTCGGACAATTACTGCGCGACCACCTATGTTGGAGCAGGAATCGGTAGGCGTATTTGATGATCTTTCTCTTAAGATCTTTGTTTTATTGGACAAAGCCCAAGATCTGTCTTGAGATGGGCCAAATCTGTTTGTGTCCCCCCCCCCCCGGATTTTGTCAGTCAGCAAAGCGTTCCTCACGACTGGCTAGCACCGTTGGGAGTTGCAGTTAAATGACCACTTCGGGCATCACTTGAGAACGGTATCAAGAAGCCCGAGGAAGGGTAAATTGATGCCTTTAAATTGTGTTGCTGGAGGAGACCCTTGAGAGTCCCCTGGAGTGCAAAGAGAACAAACCTATCTGTTCTGAAGGAAATCAACCCTGAGTGCTCACTGGAAGGACAGATCCTGAAGCTGAGGCTCCAGTACTTTGGCCATCTCATGAGAAGAGAAGGCTCCCTGGAAAAGCCCCTGATGTTGGGAAAGTGTGAAGGCAAGAGGAGAAGAAAGGGATGACAGAGGACGAGATGACTGGACAGGGTCACCGAAGGGACCAACATGAATTTGACCCAGCTCATGGAGGCCATGGAAGACAAGAGGGCCTGGTGTGCTCTGGTCCTTGGGGTCACGAAGAGTAAGACTAAACAACAATCAACAGCCCGAGAAAGGGTGACTGAGAGATCGGAGGATCTGGACATCGAGCTTTGCCAGGAATGGTTGAGGGAGTCAGCCTGTTGATGGGGGTACGAAATAGGGGGGCAGCCCACTTTTTCCTGTGGCTCCAGAGGGGAAGGGTAATACCAGGGGGTTTAAATGATAACAAAGGAGATTCTGACTAAATATTCGGGATACCTTGTCTGTAAAAACGTTTTGGCACAGTGATCTCTCTCCTGAAGGGGTAGACCCCCTTTTGCTGGAAAAAAGTTTTTAAAGAGAGGGTGGACAGCCTTAAGTCTGGGATGCTTCAATTCTAGATTTCTTGTATTCTCGAAGGCTTTCACGGCCGGGATCTGATGGTTGTTGTGGGTTTTTCGGGCTCTTTGGCCGTTATCTGAAGGTGTTCTTCCTGACATTTCACCAGCCTCTGTGGCCAGCATCTTCAGAGGACTGGAGTAGGAACAGAGCATGGATAGAGTTCCTACTCCAGTCCTCTGAAGATGCCCATGGCCACAGAGACTATCGAAACGTTAGGAAGAACAACCTTCAGAACATGGCCAAAGAGCCCGAAAAACCCAGAACAACCATCTAGATTTCTTGCTTTGACAGAAGGTAGGCTTGATGACTCATTTACTGTTCTGATTGGATCGCTTAAATGGTTGAGGTCTCTGGCTGGGGAGTTCGATTCCCCCTCTGGGCCTCCTTGACCGGGGCTGCACCGCCGAAATCCACAAGGTCCCCTTCCAGCCCTGCAGTTCTAAGTTTATTTTACACTTTGGATCAAACCTGTAATTGTATTTTATCTAAACTTCTTAGCTGCCAGTCATGAAGCCTTAAGGGAGGGATTCCACCTGTCAGAAGAGGAGACATTCTGTTCAGGCAATAAGTTCCAACAGTACTTTTGGGGCACTAAAAAAATATTAACGCTACAATAATTGGATTGTCCCGCGTCTCCCTTATATATTTTCCTTCAGAACTGATCTACCTAAAAAACTACAAATTTAACCCGAGAGCAGTTGAGTTTTTGCTGTGTTGCAGGATTGGGCCCCATCCATTGCCTGGGGTAGTTCATCGGTCATTGTCATGGACAACTGCTCTCTTATTCTGTCTGAGGAAGTGGGCTTGTCCAGGAAAGCTCCCATTAAAATCAGTCACCTAAACTTTTTATCACATGTGGTGGTCATGTGGAGTAGCGTGGGGCACTAAAAAAATATGAATGCTACAATTGTCCCGTGTCTCCCCTATATATTTTCCTTCTGAACAGATCTATCTAAAAAACGTCAAAGTTAACCTGTATTGCAGGATTGGGCCTCATCCATTGCCTGGGGTAGTTCATCGGTCATTGTGATGCGGGAATTACCCCAACTTCCACTATTAAAAAAAGGTTATTAGCAACTGTAAAAGGCCAGTCTCCTCAGGATAAGTAACATTCCTGTGATTTCTACCATTGATATTCGCAACAGAAGTTCTTTCTTTCTTTCTTTCTTTCTTTCTTTCTTTCTTTCTTTCTTTCTTTCTTTCTTTCTTTCTTTCTTTCTTTCTTTCTTTCTTTCTTTCTTTCTTTCTTTCTTTCTTTTATATCCCACCTATCTGGTCTTTGGGACCACTCTAGGTGGCTTGCAACACAATACACCACAAGCTTCAGTGGAAATACATCTGGAATGACCGACCGCTCTGTTCTCTCCCTTATAAATTCCAATTCCCTTTTTCCTTTGTCATCCCTCATGTTAAAAAAAAAAATCACTCACCTTTTAAGGTGCCATGAAGATTTTTTTAAAATTTTCATTTTGTTTTTACCTGTAATTGCTTGCACAGCCCGAGGTCCTGAGATTCCCTGCCTTGGTTCTATAAGAGAACCCCCCCCCGCGCATGTTCTGTCTGCCGCGTTCTGGAACCCCACGGTTGATCGATCTTTTCCTCCCTTTGGTTCATCCCAACAGGTGGATATTCCTCCCAGTCCATCAGCAAAGGCTGCGTCCCCATTTGCCCGCAGGCGGGGATCAACGTTGGCCTGGCGGCCGTTTCCGTGAAATGCTGCTCCTCCTCCCTGTGCAACATCAGCGCCGCCAGCAGCGTCAAGATGAACCACTGGGTTTTCGCCCTGGGGATCCTGGCCAGTTTCTCCTTCTTCCTCTTTGGCCCCAGGCTGTGATCTGGAGCGTCCTGAGTTCCGCCGAGACGCCCACCGAGAAGCCAGAAATGTTACCGAGAAAAATTGTATACCTGTAAGAGCGTTTCACTTTGTTGTCACTTTTAACCACAGAATTGTTTGTACAGAGTTTAGATACACCTTTTGGAGAGGTGGGTGGGAAGAGAGGGGGGATTGGTATGGGGAAAGGGAGGGGCCATAGAGATTTCTATGCACACCTGAAGGAGACGACGTGCAGGTTGTGGAAACGGGTCCAGTGCCAAATTAAGTCAAACCACGCTCCTAACCAAAAAAAAATCTTGATTTCCTTGGGGAGGGCTTGATATACTACTTAAGAGGCCTTAATGATATTTTGCTCGAGGCAAGGAAGGAAAATGCAAGACAACACAGATCAACACCGGGCGTCACATCACTCCTTTTTATTTTGTTTTTTTGATCAGCTGTGACTGCGAACCAATTTTTTTGGCTTGTTACCTTCTTCCTAAAGAGCTGTGTGAGTCGTAGGAGTGCAGACTGTTATCCAGCCTTTGGTTCCTTGTTGCTTCCTGAATTTGAATAAATACATCTTTATTCTTACCCAGTTTCTTTGTACTCTTTTTACCGGTAGCAGAAGTACTCGTTTCCTCTGGATTAACAGCTTAGTGCATGTTGGGAATTTCAAGAGTGCTATTCCACTAGGGGAAGGGGCCAGATTTTGTTCTCAAGGCTGGGCGAAACCTAGAAGGCGCATGAACGGGCAACTATGGGCAAGCGTCTAAGTCTAGATCTCCAATTCCTCCCGTATTTTGAGATAAAACACTCCTGGCTGTGTACTTTAAGATTTGCACACCAGCCTGACTGGGTAGGACACCCGAAGAACGAAAATGGCCAACATATTGTGGCCAAGGCGCATTTTCTTTACTCAAACCCTTGTTCCCCTTGAGGATCACAGACCGGGTAGGACACCCAAAGAATGAAAATAGCCAACATATTGTGGCTAAGGCGCATTTTCTTTTCTCAAACCCTTGTTCCCCTTGAGGATCACACTTGGGTAAAATATAAAATAAGGTTTATTTTAAGAAAAGATTAAAATGTAAGATATTCAATAGAGTTAGGAATTATACTGTTAAAAGGCCAAGCCTCTAGGATTAGATGAGCTTCAGACAGCAGTTCCCCAATAAAATAATAAAAGTCTACCTAACTAGAGTGTCGTGGGTTTACTATTTAATCACCATGCTATTTTACGGTACCATTGCTAAGTCCCTAGAGCAGGGGCTTAGAGCCTGACGGTGCGAAGGTTCTCCCCGTTCCCCCCTTTTCCTGGGCTTTTTGACATTCGGAACAAGCTACGGAATCTGATTCCGGCAGAACCCTAGTCACAGGGTTCTGTTCCATGACAGTTGACAGCCTCCTTGCCTGCTGGAAATGGCCTCTTTCCGAGGGTGCCTGCAGAGAATGGCAGGGTGGGTCCGGGACACGAAGGTGGCCGAAAGCCGGTGAGTGCGCTGGTGATGGGCGAGGACTGGAGGGAGGCTGGGAATCACCCCCTTTTTGTTGAACGGCTCAGGGATAGAAGCACATGCTTGGCGCGACAGGCTCCCTCTCAAAAGGATGGTTTGGGGTCAGAAACTGACGAGTTGGCTGCTTTGTGGTTAGGGGATAAAACATGGTCTCCCCAGAAACTCCCACCTTTGCACAATCAATATGCAACTAACACCTATTGTTTAACCCCCAGATGATCTAATGGACTGCTTAACTTCCAGCATTGTGAAGACAGGCTGGAGGATAATGAAACATACTTTTTTTTTACTTGAAGGCAGCTCTGCTTTTAATTGTGAAGCTGTGATTTCGCTTTCTGCTTTGTGCATCTAGAAGCAGAGAGGCGTGCGACGAAGGACATAAAGGACTGGAAGTGAACACTAGATGGGGCTGCTGTCTTTTTTCTTATAACAGAAATTATTCACACACATGCACACCCAAAATCAGGAAGCTGGATTGCTTGGGATTCAGCACACTTTAACTCCAGTTGGTTATCATAGGGGCTTGGTTTCCCATTTCTGGACTGAAAGAAATGTGGGACTGAAGCCAATCCCAAAGAGGGATACACAAAAATCGGAGCTTGCACATGGCTTGTCATCTTAGGGTGAGAGAAGCAATAATTCAAAAGCAAGTTGAAAAATAAAAATGAAAAACCCAACCCAACCCGTTGTCCCTCATGGTCTCGCCGCTCCTGTTTCTTGCTTCCCAATGCCCTCCACTACAATTCACAGTCCTTGGGAGCCATTGATCTTGTTTCCTGCCTCCACGAGCTAAACTGATTAGAGAAGGCACTTCCTGATCAACGTGCGATATTCCATCACACGGAAGTCCTTTCTGGTTTGTACAATTTCTCTAAAAATACCAGATTTAGCCAAGGGCCCAGGCTGCAAAAAAGCAGATTTCTCAAAATGGCATGCTCCTTTGAATTGAAACGTCTCACGGAATTGTATGTGTGTGCTGGAGTGGGGAGTTCTTCCGTGGCATAATGGACTGCACACATTTCAGAGAAGAGAGGATAAAAAAGCCCATTCACCAGCCCATATCTTAGAGCTGCAAGGGGACCCCCAGGGGTCATCCAGTCTAGCCCCTCTGTCACCAGGGAATTGAATTCCCAACCTTTGGTTCTGCGGCCAAAGACCTAAACATTGAGCTGGCCAGCCATTCTGGTTACTCTTGATTCTGTTGCCCTTCTGCTCCCGTGACATGAACCTTTCTTTCTTTATTTTCAGCAGTAGACATCTTAGCTTGCTTATCAAGCCCTCTAAAAAGTTTTCAAGTTGAGCTCCCAGGAATAAAACAGATCAAACCTTTCCCAGACACAAAAGTCTGGAATGCTTCTGTAAAAATGGAACGAGGTTCTCCCCATTTACCACATCAAATTTAATTGCGTTTCCTCCCAATTCTATTCCGACTTTCTCCTTGGACAATACATAGATCTCAAGAAAATGTGGGGCGGGGGATGTTAAGGGGAAAGGGTATGTCCCCTAGTTAACCCATTTCCACTACCAGAAAGGGGATTCCGTATTGATACATGCACCAGCAGACTGGCCGATTAAGCCCATGCTTGTGTTCCAATAACCAACCAGGAAGCAAAGCACACTAAATGCAAGATACGCAAGCGAAGAAAATAACTTCTATGACAAGCATATATTTTTTTCCACCATGTCTGGAACATTTCTGTCAGAACAAATGAAACATATGGAGTGGTTGTTGGACCCTAGGTAGAGGCATACGTTCCTTGGCTTGATTATTAATGTAACGGTTTTGTTCAAAAAGAGGAAGCGGAGGCTCTTCATCAAGATGGGCCGCTTGATCCTGGACCGAGACCAACTTAAGAAAATGATGGCGCTTTTTCTCCTTTTGCTGACCATGGCCCTGGGTTTGAAGAACGGTGAGTCTTTGACAGGGTAGCCATTTGCAGCTAGAGTCGTCCCTTCTTTTAGAGAGTGTCAGATATGGCCAGAATTTGTGGGCAAGCAGGACAGCCAACCCAGAGATTGGAGATGCTCAGAATATGACTCCCAGACCTTGGAAAAGCTTCTTGCTTGGACTCTCAGAATACGACTCCCAGACCTTGGAAAAGCTTTTTGCTTGGACTACAACTCCCACAATCCCCCTGCCAGCATATGTGTTGGACTACAACTCCCAGAAGCACTTGTAACAGCCTCAGACCTTGGAAAAGCTTGCTCGGACTGCAGTTCCCACAATCCCCCCGCCAGCATGCTGACTGGGGAATTTTGGGAGTTGTAGTCCAAGCAAGACGACTCCCAGACCTTGGAAAAGCTTTTTGCTTGGACTACAACTCCCACAATCCCCCTGCCAGCATATGTGTTGGACTACAACTCCCAGAAGCACTTGTAACAGCCTCAGACCTTGGAAAAGCTTGCTCGGACTGCAGTTCCCACAATCCCCCCGCCAGCATGCTGACTGGGGAATTTTGGGAGTTGTAGTCCAAGCAAGAAGCTTTTCCAAGGTCTGTGGCTGTTACGAGTGATCCGTTGCGTCCCCCTTGTTGAATCTCTCCATGGAGTCAGTTCCTTGATGAGCAGCGCTCTTTTTAACAGCTGGCCTCTCCTTGTTCCCAAAGCCCCAACCACGACGGGGACCGCTGAGGTGTGTTTCTTCCAGAGGCCAGATGTTTCAACGGCCAGGACTTTGTACTTTTGTTAGTTTTTCTGACGACCAGATGTTTCAACCGCCAGGACTTTGTACTTTTGTTAGTTTTTCCAATTCTTTATTTTCAGCTGGAATTGCAATGTCAATGATCCAGACATTTCTTCGTTCTGTTGCTCCTATGTCTGGTGTGTGATGTTCAAGGTGTCTTATCTGTCTGGATCCAGAAATCCCACAAGATCTCGTCTTCCTCATTTTCTGACTCCTTTTCTACCTGATCTTCCCGCGGGTTTTTGGAGGCTGGCAAGTTTTATTTTTTTGCATCATGAGCTCATTTTGCTGCTCTGTCATGCCTAATTTTGTAATCTGATTGTGCCATCTTTGGACATCATCATCATCATCATCAACAGTAGTAGCAGTAGTATTGGAAATAAAGCTGATGTAACTATGTAAGTGCACTAGGCAGTGGGGTTTAGACAAACGAATTGTTTTGGACTGGCCGGGTGATTCTGGGAATATTTGTTTCGACGTCTCTGCTGTCACGAGTGCTTACTCCTTTGTTTTGTTTTGTTTAAAAAAGGACAACCAAGTTCTCTTTTCTTTCCCCTGCTCTGCAGTTCATTCCCTGGACTGTTACAGGTGCAATGTCACGACGTACAGTGGGTGCACCTACGTCGTAAACTGCTCTGAAACACAGAAGTTCTGTACAAGATACACCTGTAAGCACGTCTTATCTCATGTGGGGTAGCGCCTGGTTTTTTTTACGCCTAATAAGACAGGGCAGCGCTGACTGAAACCCTGGGGAGGCCACAGGTCCCTGAAGGCTATGTTTAGGGACCCTCTCCTTCCTTAATTTTCCAGTGAAAAAAGTTGAACGGCAGGCTGTGGAAGCCTCCGGAAGTGCCCATTTATTTTTTTAAAATGGATCACAGGGCCCTCATCACTGCTATTTACATTTCTGTGTTATCCTGAATTGGTTACAAGTCGGCTTCCTTCCTTCCTCTCTCTATATTTTGCAATGCTCCCACCTGGGAGGGCACCCCAAATCTCACGGCTGAGCTGCCCTCCCGTAGCAGCTCATGAACCATCTACACTCCCAACCACAGATTAGATTAGATTAGATTAGATTAGATTAGATTAGATTAGGATAGGTTAGATAGATAGATAGATAGATAGATAGGTAGATAGATAGATAGATAGATAGATAGATAGATAGATAGATAGATAGATAGATAGATAGATAGATAGATAGATAGATAGATAGATAGATAGATAGATAGATAGATAGATAGATAGATAGATAGATAGATAGATAGATAGATAGATAGATAGATAGATAGATAATGCTTACATTTCTTTGCTGTGTAATTTTCCTTCTGGAAAAGGGCCTTTCTGCCATTTGAAAAAGCACTTTGCTTCTTCTGGCATATTTACCTGTTTAAATTATTCAATTTATTTTAATCTGTTTTATACTGGAGTCGTTTTGTAGTATTTATCTCGCTGTGTTTTTAATTCTGTTTGTTTAATACTGTGAGTCGCCTTGAGTCCCCTTTATTGGGAGAAAGGCAGCCTATAAGAAAGTCAGACCGACCGACCGACCGACCGAGAGAGGAGTTCTTAGAAGGCTTTCTCTCAAACGTTCCCCGTCTCTTTGAACCAAGGGCTGGCCTCCAGCTCTCTCCGTGAGAAAATCCCCTGCCTAGAGCTAACCAAAAGTTAGAGCTTAGGCAAGTTACTTTTTAAAGCCGACGGCTCATCTAATCCCTTGGCCAGTGTTGGTTCCCAATGAACATGTGGGCTTGGTGGCTGGTGGGCTCCGGATGTTGCAGTCCAAAAAGGCAAGTTTTCTAAAGTTTGCCAGTCTGGGTAGACCAGATGGACGTTGCTGCTCTCTCCATCTCATGCCGACCCACAATCCGGGTGGATGACAGAGATGCTCCCTGTTCCTCCATGTCTGATTCAGAGGCCTGGTCGATCAATCCTTTGGTAGACTTTGACCTCTGGGGATGAAGGCCTGGTCCAGAACCCCAGGTAGACCCACCCTCTGCTTCCTCAGCAAGGCTTGGGGGGCAGAGTATGGTTCCTCGCCTTCTCCTCAGTTGGCTTCCAGGTCTGCACCTAGAGGCACAGCCCACCAGCTCTTTCCTCTGTCCAGGCCACCAGCCCTATTATGGAAATCTTCATGGGGAATCCTTTCACCACTGGTTGCTGAGAATGGGTGTACCCTCTAAATAAAGCAAATCACCAGTTGTCTCACCCTAGTTACAGCTCTGGTGGGAGCCTGGGACATTCGCATACCTAGTACAAGGTGAGCTGACCGGCCTTAGACATGTAGAAAGAGAGAGGAGGTATGGATTGGGGTGGAGTTCCTCTCTTACTAAAGGGACATGGTGGCACTGCGGGCTAAACCGCAGAAGCCTGTGCTTCAGGGTCAGAAGACCAAGCAGTTGTAAGATCGAATCCACGTGATGGAGTGAGCTCCCGTTGCTTGTCCCAGCTCCCGCCAACCTAGCGGTTCGAAAGCATGTAAAAAGGCGAGTTGATAAATAGGGACCACCTCGGTGGGAAGGTAACAGCGTTCCGTGTCTAAGTCGCACTGGCCATGTGACCACGGAAGATTGTCTTCGGATAAACGCTGGCTCTACGGCTTGGAAACAGGGATGAGCACCGCCCCCTAGAGTCGAACACGACTGGACAAAAATTGTCAAGGGGAACCTTTACCTTTACCTCCTCTCTTACTGTTTAACGAATAGCACAGACATTCATGCCCAAATATAAGCGAACCATTTCAAGACTGAATGTGGATACATTCTCTCTCTCTTTGCAACAAAACAGCCCAGTTTGACCCCCTCTCGCCCAGGTGCACCCATGCAGGCACCTTTGACACCATGCTTGAGCGACCATCCGGTGCTACCTATTGAGTTGCGAAGTCCACTTGGCATCCTAGACAGTTTCATCTTCTGTCCAGGAGACGTTCATTGAGTCCCAGAATCCTAGAGTGAATGGAGTTGGAAGAGAGCCTCTAAGGCCACGGAGTCCAATCTCCGGCTCAAGGCAGGAATCCCATTGAAAGCAGATCGGACAGAGGGTGGTTCAATAGTATCTTGAATGCTTCTGGCATTGGGGGTGCTCAGCACCTCCCAAGGTCATGGGTTCCATTCTTATGTCATTCAATAAGGTTGAAAAAAACCCCACTGAGGTCAACCTGAGATTGGACGAAGGCAGGCTAAGACAATGCTAGTGTTTGAACTGTATCTTTTCCTTCTACCCCTTCCCCTATGGCCATGTGTTTTAGCTACTACCACATCTGGCTTTGTGCTCCAGCAAGGCTGCGCGGAGCGTTGCCCCATTGTCAGAGGTACTTGGCCGAAGCTATACACTTTTACCTGCTGCCAGGAGAGTAGGTGCAACGGAGTAGCGGGCATCGGAAGATACAGTTCTGCACTAATCATGATCACTGTCCTGAGAGCTCTCTCCTAGAACTGTGTTCCAGTGGCAAGAAAGCACAGTCTCTGCCGAGCCAGGAAGGCGTGGGGGTTTCCATTTCGCCAACTTCTCACCACTGTGGCTGAGAGAATCCTGACTCTTGCCAACAAAACGACTCTCGTTTTCCGTTCCTGGGACGCCTTCCGAATATTTCCTCCGTAGACGGAACGCGGTAGGAATGGACGTCCACCGGGGAGTGGTGTATGCAGACTGCTTTGCAACAGGAGAGTCTCGGAGGCTTTGGTAGAATCAGGCGACCCAACAGCGAAGAAACCTGATCACCGTCTGCCTAACGACCTCAAGGTTGGCTCAAGAGGATACCAAATATACAGCTGAGACCTAATGGTCCAAGGCGGATGGGAAGACAATGGCCAGATGTACGTCTTTCTCCGTAGCATAAATCTTTTGGCTTGACCCATGTCTCCTTCTGTAGATCGACACGTGTGGTAGTGCCAGAAAAAGATGGGAGGAGAACAGCATCCAGTATTTTCTCCACTGCCAAGGGAGAAAAAAATGTCAGTCTACTGAGGCAGACAGGCTGGCTTAAGGAAGGGTGAGTTCAACCTAGAACTTCAGTGGAACTCTTTTCATGAAAGAAATGCCGTGGGAAGAACTAAGGGTGGGTTTCTTCCAATATTTAGAAGGCCCCACGCAAAGAAACAGACTGATTTTTTTTGTATGAGATTATAAAGAAGAAAGCAGAATAGATCTCTTGCCTATTATATATACGAACGATATGAGTAATAAATAACAGCAACCGTAATAAAAACAACTGTGTCCTTAATAGAACGATGTCTAGTATTGCAGTAAGTAGACTAAGGAAATTGCTGAGTTAACCATGGTTGATACTTTTTGGGCTGTTTCAGGTCCCTTTTTTGGGGGGGACATTGATTAAGACGTAAGTCTAAATGGTCAGCCGAATATAGTCTCGTTGGACATTTCAGGGAATCCTGGTTCTTCTCTTTGTGAGAGGGGAGGAGAAAAACCTTAGGGCGAGAGACGCTGGAGGAAAGATCTTAATCGCTGTGTGCCTAAGCTGATTTCAAAACCTTTGCACCAATAAATAATAATAGTAATAGTAATAAAGCAAAGCATGCTGCTTATATACCGCCCCATAGCGCTTCAAGCACTCTCTGGGCAGTTTACATTTTAATTATGCAGGCTACACATTGCCCCCTCAGCGAGCTGGGTACTCATTTTACCATAATAATAATAATAATAATAATAATAATAATAATAATAATAATAATAATAATAATAATAATAATAATAATAATAATAATAATAATAATAATAATAATAATAATAATAATAATAATAATAATAATAATAATAATAATAATAATAATAATAGCCTTTATTGCCAATGCACAACATGTGTGCAGTGAAATTGAATGAGGCTCCATTGGTAGGATGGCACAAAGCACAAGAAACACAAAATACAGACACAGAATACATCTCCAGCCTTATAAGCAAATCCACAACCCCAGGAATTCCGGGGCTAGGCACACCTTTCCACCGGTATCCACATATTGCATGTTGCACTGGCAGCGTGAGTCTGTTTTATTAATTGTTATGTGGCATTTAGGAGCCTGACAGCCCATATGGATAGAAGCTGTTTTTCAGCCTGTTTGTCTGGCTGGCTATGCTTCTCTTTCACTTGTCCGATGGCAGAAGTATGAAGAAGGGCTGTCCAGGGTGAGAATCCTCCCTAAGGATTTTACTCACCCTGTTGAGGCACCGGGACGTGGCGATTTCCTCCAGTAGGGGTTATGGGGCAACCCATGATCATTTGTGCTGTGCTCATCACCCTCTGCAGTGCCTCCTTGTCTGCGGTTGTTAAGCCGGCGTATCATACCGTAACACAATATGTGTAAATGCTTTCCGTGGTTGACCAGGAGAAAAATATCATGTGCCGCCAGGTTTTTCCGTAAGACTCTTAGGAAATGGAGTCTCTATTGGCCCTTCCAGACTGCCTGGAACATATTGCCTTGATATATATAGAGTGGGGCTGGTCCCTGCCTCTGTTTCTCCAGAAGTCCAACACCATCTCCTGAGCCCTGCTGTGAGCTGTTGCAATTGGAAGTCTACTGGGATGGTTAGGTCTCGAATGGGCCATCGAAAGCCGTTAGCTTTACAAAAGACCCACTTCCGGGCGGAGATCAAAAACAGAGCTTTGAAACATAACCTTTGAAAAAAGACTGCTTTTTTCAGGAGCCCAGCCAGGAGGGCGGCTGCGGAATTCAAAGAGCTGTCTCCTAGAACAGGAACTTTCCAAGCACAAGTGGAAATTTCTGGAACTAGTTGGCTCTTCCTTCCCCCCCCCTTTTTTTTTCTTTTTGACGTGGAGCAACCCAGCCGCCTGCATTTTTCAGACTTCCCTGGGGCACAGCTCTGGAGACAGGCATGCAACATTTTATCACTACATGGCTTGGTTTGGAGGCAGGGATGGGGGTGATCTGCTTGAGACCTGCCTGTTCCCTTGTCTTGATGCTGTGTCGGTCACCCCATGGTGAAGAAATGACATCTGGCTGTAAGAAAAAGCTGGAGAAATTGTGATTCTAGCCACATGTGCAGATGGACGGTCGGTCCAAGAGGCCGGGCTGCCCTCTTGTCAAGGCTTTACGTCATGCTGGAAGAGTGCGTGGAAAAGGGAGGGGCAATAGGGAAAGAGGACCACTGAATGTGAGATGTGTTGACTCCATATAGGAAGCCACAGTCTTCTGTTTTGCAAAAGCTGAGCAGGGCTGTTTGCAATAGGACATTATGGAGGTCACAAAATCATTGGGTTGCAAGACATTGGAGGCAACTTTATGGCACATAAACATCCCTTTTTTAAAAATACCAGGATGAAGTATAAACCATCGTCATGTGAACCAAGCTCATCCTTTGCTTCTCAGAAATGAGTTCACATGCTGTCTGGCTGCCTACTCTCTGGTAGAATCTGCTGTGTTTCTGCCTGGCCCTCTTCCCCAGTTGCCCAGCCAAGCAGCAACCTTGGAAATACGCCAATTATTTGGGAGTCCTTTGCTTGAAGAGCTGGGTAGAAAATTCCAGCCCAATGCTACCGGGAAGTGAAGCTTGAAACCGCCCACCCCCAACCACCAAAGGCTATCTGCAGCCAGTGTTTGAACTCACCTCTCAGAACCAGCCCTGTATCTGCGGGATCAGTATCTGTGGTTTCACTCATCCACGGTATAAAAATATGAAAAATATTTTTTTTAAGTCAAGAAAAAGCTATTTTCACATGTATTACTAGAATGGGCCATTAGAATGAACCAGAGACCTTGTTATGAATACTTGTGAATGAAGAATACATAGGATGGACTCTGGTGCCCTCTAGTGGCCTGGTCATGCATGTAAAAATAGTTTTT